TCAGCTGACATCTGGGTCATGCCAGTATTATCTCTTTGTCTTCACTCAGAAGGACAGGCTCAGGGATCGGTCACAGGGGACAAATGTTGTTCCCATCTTTACTGTGGGAGTAGTAATCTTTGCCTGTGGGGGGAACTGTTAGTGACTCCACAAAACAAATGGGATGTGCAGAGCTAGGAGAGTCCCCATGCCAAGAATTTTCAGATGATAGGCCAGAAGCATTGGCTTTTCAAGCAAAGGCACATATTTTATTATTCAAACACACAGATTTAAAACAGGAAGGATTGACTATGATAAGACCAACCCAATGGCACAGATGTGTTCAAAGATCCCACCAAACTCTTACTTTTGGAAAATAAACAATGAAGTCCACCAATGAAGTAAAAACCTTCATGGAGACTGCAGTGAATTCAGTGAATTCATACAGCCTATGCCAATGGCATCTGGAACTGTCAATTGTGCTTGAGCTGTGCTCAACATAGTTAAAAGGTTCTTGATGTATGAGAACACTTGCAGGCCATATGCTCTGCTGTGACTTCTAAAGGTGGCAATACTGTTTTGGATAAGACACACACTTGTAAAGGAGAAAGCATGTTCATTGCAAGCACTTCAAAAAGTATGATGTAGTTTTCAACACCAGAGCACGGTTCTCCAATGGATTGTGAGAGTATACTCACTAAATGTTGCAGTCAGGTATCAAATAAGAACAATCCAAATAGGAAAGCTGACAACAAACTCTCATTTGCTGTGGCACCATGGCAAACTCAACCTTTCTAAAATATGGAAGCCTATTATTTGGAGGACTTGCTTTCTTGGCAAAGTGGTTGACTTAATAAAATTAGACTGACTCATGTGATCATACTGAATTAAAATAATATAACTCTCTTTATAGACAGGTTTTGAATGGTGCATATTATCCATCGATTGCATGCTTCTCATAGGCTCCTTTCCTGACCTCCTGGACTCCCCTTGTCCCACCCCCTCTCAGACTGTGTTAGGTACTCATGTTCCTGTAACACTGTGGGTATGTATAGCTGTCTCTCGTGGCACTTACCACATAATAATGTGGTCTTCTCCTCTCTAGCCTGTGGGATCCTGGAAGACAAGGTCCTTGCAGTGTCCTTTAACAATATTCTATTCACACATGGTGCCTGCTGAGTGGGCGGTGCTCAAGAGAGTTGTGTCACTCTCCGAATGACCCATTTGCTTGCATTAATGACACTAACTTTGGAATTAAACAAGATTGAAAGAAGATTAAACAAGACTCCAAAGATTAGTTTCTCATCTTTCTCATTAGTTGCATTGTCAAATTACCTTAAAAAGTTAATTAAAAGACTAAAAATTCACTTTCTCTCGTTGTCCTAGATAAGCGATGGTCCCATTCCGTGTCGTCTGCCACACTTGCCCTTTTCCCACTCCCAGTTATTGGTCTGAGCTCCAACTGCATTAAAATAGTTCTCATTCGCCTCACCATAGTCAAGAGCTACTATCATTATGGAAGATTTGCAGAAGCTGAAAGGAAAGGTGTGATCCTCTTTGGTAAAGTTTTAGCAATCACTTTTATTCCTGCTCCTTTTACTTTCTTTTTAAAGGAGGCCTGCAAATCACAAAACCTTGAAACCACAGTAGCTTGTGTTTATGTAAATTGAGATTAATTTTGTGTTGTCTTAAAATAGCTTTAAGTTGCACAAATTATTTGTAAACAGGAAAATTTTCTTAAATTATGCTCTGAAAGCCTGATGGCTGTCTGTGAGTTCTCCCAGGCAACACAGTGACTCAGTAAAAAACAGCTGGAAGGAATATAATGAGCAAAAAAGCAGATATTGTAGGTTCCTTATTCTAAACTCCATGCTCTTTCTACAGAGGTGGTCCTGTCACATCCTCGTGGAATGCATTTTTTCTTCTTTTTTCACAAATTCCAATCAAGCAGAGCCCCAAGTGGTCAAGAAAACAGACACAGTAAGAGGTGACCCATTGATTAGATGGAGGCCAACTGATGTAAATGAGGCACAAGAATCCATAACTCTCTTAGTCCACATTTCTCGATACCAGACAACTCAAAACTATTGTCCAGCAGGCTGAATTTGGCCTACCTAAGTATTTTGTTAGGACTTTACAGTTTTTTTTATTTTATTAACCTAATATTTTAAAATAAGGGAGTTCCTGTAGAAGTATATGTGTTTAGCTTTTCACGAACAAACATACGACCTAGCCATACTGGGCTGTGTATCTACATGGGAACTACAGCTGAAGCTGCATGTTACTGTACCCTTTAAATATAAGGGTACAGTTTCCCTGTTCAGTTTCCACTGCCCACACGTGGTTTGCCCCACATCTACCCCCAAATAGTTTTGCTCATTTCTATCTAGTCACTGGAGGCAACTGAGTTTGCCATGAAGAACTTCACATCAGGGTCCATTTCCTAGTTGCCATACCATTTTGAAATCAGAAGCAGATTTATAAAAGCAACTGCTTTCATTAGAAGATTGGACTAGAACCTCCTCAGGAAGCAGTTGCCTAGCAGTTCTGGTTTGGCAGCAATAAGGGATTCTCTGCAGCACCAGGACCTTCTTGCTTCCCCCCACCCTGACCCCAGAGCTAGCAACTTTTTGAAATGTAAAACTCGGTGTCTCCAAAAGTATGTTCTGTGGTACCTTTGTTATAAGAAATGTTAACATCGTTATTTTAAAAATTCAGTACTCAGAAAAATAAAAAATAAAAAATTCAGTAGTCACTTATATATGCATTCATCAGTAAAAACTAATTACCGTTTTTTGTTTTTAGTGAAGAGCCTTTAAAACACTGTTGTGCACTTCTAATCTCTCAGAGGAGGATTAATGTGCAGTCTTTTTTTCTATATATTTGATTGCAAATCTATTTTTACTGGACTATCCCACCCACGATACAAGTGTTCTACAGAATAACCTTGGAAAATGAGGTTAGGAATTCTTAGGGATTTCTAACTTTATCATTTTTTTGTAATATTTCTGAAAAGTCACTCATAAACAAAGTAAAGCAACCTGCCCAAGACACAGAAATTGCGGCTGTGATGAAATAGGGTTGAAATCCCAGATTTCTGTCTTCCAGTGGTAGCAGAGTGTGTGTAGACAATTTCAGAGTGTATGTCATGCACTGATCTCTAAATTTTTGGAAATATTCAAAGATAAATAGTTTTAGTTAAATCACAGCAGTGGAGGAAGAAAGTATCATCACCTTAAGAAAGGAACAGCAACCTTGGCATAGAGTCAATGACAATAAAATACATAACAGTCATTAAAACAGGAGGAGACAGGAGATTCAGGGGGTATTTGATGAGGATTAGATTTATTTTCATAAAAAGTGAAAGCACTGCTTTCTTTAATATTCCCATTTTTATATCAGAGTATATGTAATGTATAATGTATGTAATAAGTACACTGTTTATATAAACAAGCCATACAATGACTGTAGTCTGATTTCTCTCTCCTGTAAAAGTTGAGTCCAAATTAATAAAAAATTGAATAGAACAAAACAAAATTCTCTAGTATCATCATTAATGCATTATTAAAGAGAAACTGGATAGTTAATAAGCCTCCTTTTCTGCTGAAAGTTTAATGTTAAAATATGTATATTGTATGTATACTGAGTATGCGTGCTAATGGGGATTTCTATTTTTTTTAAAGATAAGTTGAGTTTTTTAAATTTTATTTATTTTTACAGAGGGGGGAAGGGAAGGAGAGAGGGAGAGAAACATCAGTGTGTGGTTGTGTCTTGCACATCCCCTACTGGGGACCTGGCCCACAACCTAGGTATGTGACCTGACTGAGAAAGGAACCTGCAACCTTTCAGTTACTGGGCAACACTCCAACCAATTGAGTCACACTGGACAGAGCTAGATACTTGGTTTTGAATACTTAAGCTAAAACAAATGTTTTAAAGACATAGAACTAATACAATTTAAAACAATACAGAAGTTTATAAAGTAAAAGCTAAAAATCTTTCATTCTTGTCATTTTATGAAGAATTTTGAAAAATCAGATCAGGCTGTCCATGTACACCCTATGCAACAATATTCTAACTTAATGACGTAGCATGAACTTTCACTGTCAGCACATACAGGGCTACTGTGTCCTGTTGACACTGCACTGTATTCCATGGCCTGGCTAAACCATAATTTACTTCGCCAGTCCCTCGTAGGTGGACATTCAGCTAACTCTAATTTTTAGTTTTACAAATAATATTTTGTACATGTCCCATGGGTGTGAGCACAAGTCACTCTGTAGAACAGATGTCTAGATGTGGGATTGCTAGGTTATTTAAATGGCCATTCTCAAATTCCCCTCCAAAAGGCTCACTAAATTATGACACTTCTAGCATCACATTTAAAAATGTTTCTTTCTCGAGGAGGGACTGGCACCGCAGTCATGAGTTGCTTCCAGTTCATGGATGTGAGCTCTTGCCTATTTCCAAAGGAGATATCCTGACTCCAGTTTCTCCCTTCAAATTCTCACCTCCACAAAGACTCCAGAATGAGATGTCCAGAATGCAAATCTTACTCCTCCACTTAAAAGCCATAAGCACTTCTTATTGCATCTTATATTTTAGAGACAGATACTGGTATCAACTTGACAGATCCTATGTTCAGAGGAATTTATAGGGGGGCTCAAAACATCAGGATGACTTTCAAGGTGTCATACAGAAAGCTGTCTAAATTGGTGTTAAAAAGTTTACGATTACAGGTGGAAATCTACAAGACGGTGAAGATGCACTGCATTTGGCACAGACAAATGATATGGTTTCAGTACAGTTGGATGTCATCCTACAAGGTGTGATGACTTTGAAAGAATAACCCCCATCTTTACTTCACGGAATTGCTAAATCTTGCTGGAAACAACAAGAGGAAAGTTGCAGCAATAGGGGAATGCGGCCTTGATTGTGACCAACTATAGTTTTGTCCCAAAGATACCCAGCTCAAATATTTTGAAAAACAATTTGAACTGTCAGAATAGACAAAATAACCAATGTTTCCTTGCTGTCGAAAGGCACAGGCTGAATTTTGGGATATAATGAAGAGAAGTAGAGATGGGAGTGTGGGTGGAGTTGTGCATTCATTTGGTGGTACCAAGGAAGCAGCAGCTGCTTTGATTGACTTGGATCTCCTTGTAGGATTTAATGGCTGCTCACTGAAAACTGAGGCTAATTTGGAAGTTTTGAAGTCAATACCTACAGACAAATTAATGGTTGGGGCTGACGCACCTTGGTGTGGAGTCAAAAGTACACATGCTGGTTCAAAATATGTAAAAACTTTATTTTCTACCAAAAAGAAATGGGAAAATGGACCCTGTTTGAAAGACAGAAATGAACCCTGCTGTATAGTTCAAATACTGGAGAGATGAGGATCCACTGGAATTAGCCAACACACTGTATAACAATACCATTAAAGTATATTTTTCCTGACATTTAATTGGTATGTGTTCCATTTTCCATCATGTATGTAAAATTTCATGGTAAAACTTAGTGAAAGTTTCAATAAAGGAATTCCCTGGGGGTTGTCCATAAAAAATATTTCTTTCTCACACACCTTGCAACTATTGCACATTATCAATCTTTTTGGTATTCACCCATCCAATGTATACAAACTGGCTCTCACCGATATTATAGTTTGCATGTCATGACGAATGCACGAAAATTACTGATCCACCTGTTAGTGAGACATAAGTATTCCTTCTTTTTTAAAAAATCATTTTAAAAAGATTTTTATTTATTGATTTTTAGAGAAGGGAAGGGAGGGAGAAAGAGAGAGAGAGAAACGTCAATGTGTGGTTGCCTCTTGTATGGCCCCCACTGGAGACCTGGCCTGCAACCCAGGCATGTGCCCTGACTGGGAATCGAACCTGTGACCTGACCCTTTGGTTCGCAGCCTGCACTCAGTCCACTGAGCTACACCAGCCAGGGCTGTATTCCTTCCTTTATGGACTGCCTGTCTATATCCTTTGCCACTTTTGGTTGCTTATCTTTATGTATTAATCTTTCATCAATTATCTATGCTACAAATCTTTTCTTTCCAGTCTATTGTTCATTTTTTCTATTTGTTTTATATTTTTCAATTTATTTCACAGAAGTCTATAATTTTTATAGAGTTCGCTCTGGCAATACTTGTTCACAATTTTTGAATTTTACTTCATATATTAGAAAGACTTCCTTATTGCAAGGTTATAAAATATATCCCTGGTTTTTCTACCTAATGCTTATATAGATTTGTCATTCATTAATCCATATGACCATTAGTCCATATGCAAAGTATGTATTTTATGTATTAGTTGAAGTTCTTATGTTTTTTTCTTTTATTTCCAAATACCATTCTCAGCACTATTTATTGGACAGGCATTGTTATTCCGGGATTTGGAATGCCTCCTTTATTATATAGTCAGTTACACAGCCTGGTCTCCTTTACTCTTTCTTTTCTTCTGTAACTGTCTAAAGCTGTTACGATAGCTGCAGTTTTACTGAAATTCTAGAAAGACAAGTATTTCCTCATTGTTTAGTTTTTCTTCTTTTTTGAAACAAATTTCTTCTCTACTTTTTTTCCAGATGGATTTGGAATTCTCATGTCATGTTCTAGAGCAAATTCTCACTGGAATTTTCACTGAAATTTCATTTTAATGGTTCACTAATGTTGGAAGAGTTGACATTTTTATAGTATTGAGTGTTCCGAGTAGAAACAAGGTATTATCTCTTCATTTATTGATATATATTTTATATCTTTATCACAGACATGAATCTTGTACATCTCTTGTTAAGTTTATTCCTGAGTAATATGTACATATCTTTTCAAATCATCATTCTAATAGATTACCAACAACATAAAACAGCTACTGACTTAAGTATATTTATCTCCTAGTTATCCAGCTTATAAGGTCTAATAATTTAATTGATTTTTTATAAAGCTATCAAGTTTTGATCTGACAAAATGCATTTTAAAGTTTCTTTTTTCAGCTATGAAACTAGTAAGTACTCAGTAGAAATGCAGAAAAACTGACACCAACAACCAAGAACCACTGTAATCATTTTATTTATATGTTTTCATTCTTTTTATATTTACATAGCTTCTTCTACATAATGTTAATCACACAGTATGATTAACTGAGTGTATTTTTTAAAATAATAAACGCATGCAATATGCCAAAACCATTTTGCTTGAGGTTTATGTGTTTGATAAGGAACCCTGTGCTTCTCACCAATGAACAGAAATGCTAACATAACTTCTGTTGCTGAGATTATTGAGTTCAGTTTGGTCCCTTCTTTGGCTGCCAGTCTCACTTGCTGGCATTTATACCACCCAATTATAGTTCAGCATCACGAAGCCCGCTGGCCTTCACACCACACATAGCCGCTGACCTCACTGCACACTCAGCCGTTCCATTTCAGGCCTCGGCTGGAGTCACTCTTCCAGCACAGGTGATGCAGAGGTGGCTGGCTTATTGTTCCATTTAAAAGGCTGACTAGAGTACAATCAACATAATTTTCAAAAACATTTTAAAAAACACATTTCTCATGTGGCTGGCTCTCAGTTAAAGAAATGTGCATATGGTTTGAGTTTAGACAGGCTGATTTGCATTTTACTTTGCATTACTTTAAAGCCGAGTAACTTACTTGTTTATTTTGTTACCTGTAAGGACCACTCTTTCATTCCTTCAGCTGTCTGCTCAGTCACCTTACCAAAGAGGACTTCCTTGGTCTACTTATATAAAATAGGAATCCCCACCCTATGGCCCCGGCCACATGTGCCCCTAACATATGCAGGGCTGGGGTGAAAGTGTGTATGGAGCCCACTCCTATGTCCAAGTATTTAAAAGGCCCAGCAGGGCTTCATGCACACACCTGTGAGTCATTCAATGCCTTCATTTAGGTCTCCATTCTATCTTTCAATTATTATTTTTGTATTTTTTAGACACTGATCTCCTGGGGGTGTTATTGATGTGGCTTTTAAAAAAACTTAATGATTTGTTTTCCATTACTTTATCTAGGTGATTATTGCCAGTTGTAATAGATATTTCTAGGCATCTCCTAATATCTCATCATTCTTCCTTTCCACCCTTTCTTTCTCCTTTCCAGCTGAAAGATTACTTTTTCCAAGATTCCTTGGCCACGTGACTAAGTTCTGACCAATGAAACAGCAGTGGGTGTTTGATGTGGGACTTTGAGGAGTCTCCTTCCTAAAAGGGAAAGAGGGAGAGAACACGTTTCATTTTGCTGGAGGTAAATGGTGAACTACCTTGTTTTCTCTGCTGAAGACTAGCGTTCTCTAGCCAGGTGTTCTGAGAATGTTTTGAACCAATCTTTATTATGTTTTGCTAGAAACCTATCTTCAAAATTATATCGTTTTTTAAGTCAACAACCGCAGCATGCTCTTGTAATTGTTTTACTCCCGAAGCTAGCCTCTTTTCTATTCCCAATGCTGTTTCTACATTATGTCTCCTTTTTTGTTGTTGTTTAGATTCTTTGCCAGGTTAGGTTTGTCTATTTTGTTTCTTTTTTCAACATTTGATTGTTAAGTGATCTTAACTTTTTCTTTCAATTTCCCATTTGGTTTGTTTCTGCCTTTATTGTTTTTTCCTTCCTTCATTATCTTCTTTCTTTGATTTTATTGTTTGTTTGTTTTTTTGTTAGTTTCTTGAATTTTGGGGCTGGATTAACTTATTTTCAGTTTTTCTTATTTTCCAGTATATACAGTTAAAGCTCTATAGTTTCTTTTAAGTATGATTTTGGTTACATAAGACAGAAGGTGTAAAGATCTGGCACATAGTAGGTGCCCCCTTTATAAAGTGTGAATCCATGTCTTTTTTAAAATTATAAGAACTGTTTAAATTAACATTATCTTGACTGAGCATTTTCCTAATGACATTCCATTTATTTACTTTTCTTATTACCAAATTAAAGAAGACATGTTTTTCCCTAATATTTATTTATTTATTTTATATGCTTTATTTTTATCACTAAAGACTTTCATTTCCTAGAGCAGCTTTACATTCAAAGCAAAATTAAGAGTGAGGTATAGAGATTGCCCGCATCTCCCCTCCCCCCACATCCCTATCCTCCCCCATTGTCAATATTCCCCAACAGACTGGTACACTGTTGCGACTGAGGAACCGACATTGACATGTAATCACCAGAATCCATAGTTTGCACCAGGGTTCACTCTTGGTGGTGTACACTCTATGGAGTTTTTGTTTCTTTTTTATTTTGCCTGGCTGCTCTTTAGAATCACCTGGGAAGCCTGATGGTGCCGTGACTCCGACCCATACCAAGCATGTCCGAATCCCCAGGTGTGTGACCCAGACAGTATTTTAAAAGCTCCCAGGTGATTCCAATGTACAGCCAAGACTGAGATTTATTTATTTTTTTTTTTTTTTAAATTATTTTTTATTGATTATGCCATTACATTTGCTCTATTCCCCCCTCCCCTCCCCTCCACCCTGCATACCCCTCCCCCACCATTTCCCCCTTTAGTTCATGAACATGTGTCTCAAATTCTTTAGATTCTGTATTTCCCCTACTATTCTTACCCCTCCCCCCTATCTATTTTCTATCTACTGTCTGTACTACTTATTTTCTGTACCTTCTCCCCCCTTCCCCTCCTCCCACTCCCCTATTGCTAATCCTCCATGTGATCTTCATTTCTATGGTTCTGCTCCTGATCTAGCTATCCTCTTAGTTTGCTTTTGTTTTAGGTGTGGTTCTTAATAACTGTGAGTTTGCTGTCCTTTCACTGTTCATCTTTTTTATCTTCTTTTTCTTAGGTAAGTCCCTTTAACATTTCATATAGTAAGGGCTTGGTGATGATGAACTCCTTGAATTTGGTCTTATCTGAGAAGCACTTTATCTGTCCTTCCATTCTAAATGAAAGTTTTGCTGGGTAGAGCAATCTTGGTTGTAGATTTTTGGTTTTCATGACTTGGAATACCTCTGTCCAGCCCCTTCTTGCCTGTAAGGTCTCTTTTGAGAAATCAGCTGACAGTCTGATGGGAACTCCTTTGTAGGTGACTGTCCCCTTAGCTCTTGCTGCTTCTAGGATTCTCTCCTTCATTTTAATCTTGGCTAATGTAATTATAATGTGCCTTGGTGTGTTCCTTCTTGGGTCCAACTTCTTTGGGACTCTCTGAGCCTCCTGGATTTCCCGGAAGTCTATTTCCTTTGCCAGCTTGGGGAAATTCTCCTTTATTATTTGTTCAAATAATTTTTCAACTGGTGGTTGTGCCTTTCCCCCTTCTGGTACCCCTATAATTCGGATGTTGGAACGTTTAAAGATGTCCTGGAGGTTCCTAATCTTCTCCTCATTTTTCTGAATTCTTATTTCTTCATTCCTTTCTGTTTTATCATTTTTTTCTTCTGTCTGGTCCTCTCCCTTGATTTGAGTCCCAATTTTCTTTCCATTACTATTGGTATCTTTTGTATCAGCATTCATTTCAATTAATTTAGCTTCCATATGTTTCTCTAATTTGTGACTAAAATCCACCAGTTCTGTAAGGATCTTTATAACCAGTGTTTTGAACTGTGCATCTGAAAGACTGGCTATTTCTTCATCACTTAGGTCTATCGGTTCTGGGGCTCTGAGTTGTTCTAGAGCCATTTTTGGTCTGTTCGCGCTGTTAAGTGAGCGGAGCGAAGCCTTAGTTGTTTACCAGGACGGGGCGACCCAGGTCGCTGGTTTGTGACGCTGTGTGTGGGGGGCGGGGTCAGAGAGGGAGCGATGGCGTTCCTCTCCGCTAGCCCAGAGCATCCAGTCACTCACACAAACGCCTCGGGCTTGCTTATCCGATCCTAATTTTGCGAGCCTGCTGCACCGCGCTCGGGTTTCCCTTCTCACTGGTTTCTCCGCACGTAACTGCGCGCGACCGACCGACCCACCGCGCCTCTTCCCTATGCGCTCCGCAGCCAGCTCGCTGGCGATCAGCCCTCGGTTGCCGCCTGCGCGCGCCGCGCACCGCCCCGGGAATTTTTTCTTGCTAACCTGCTCCGCTTCTGGTCTCGCTCCTTGTACCGTTCCAGCCGAGTATCTAGTTGTCCTTTGGACTCCGTATTGTTGATTTTCCGTGTAGCTTGGTTGTGACTGCTGTTAAAAATAGTTGTTCTTAGATTTGGTTGTGCACAGAGGTGAGGTGGACCCTCCACCTACTTCTCCATCTTGGCGGAAGTCCTCTCTTTTCTTATTTTTGAGATCCCTCTTGGGTTCCCTGTGGTCACTAGCAATGTAACCCCCCTGAACATATGTAGGTGTTTTTGCGCTTCTTCCATGGCCAGAAAGGTAAGAGAGCCACTGGTAAAGCGCATCACATTCTGGAGGAAGAAATGATGCCACACCAGGGAACACACATACAATCCAAGACTGAGATTTAAATGGATCTTAACTCTCTGTCCCATCTCTCCTAACCATAAACTGCAGCTGTTCAGAGCTGCTAAAAGTATAATAAAAGTGAATAGATGTAAATGTAATGTAGACTTTGAATACTTTATGTAACAGTCTGGCAATATTTACTCGCTGACATTGGCAATTTCTAATATGTAAATTGAATATTACTCTAAATGTATATTTATGTCCATATCCTCAGGAATTTGGCCAACTTATCAGAGGGAAAAGAAATTTAAAAGGAGGGTAGATTTTTAGGCAAGTCTGGGAAAGCCTGTGTAATCACAATGGAGTTGGAAGGTTTATTTAGACAGAACTTATTAGGCACAATTGAATTAAAGACACGGTTTGTTTTCTTGAGGCTGATGATAGAGTAAAAACAGTTTTAATGAAAAATCTAAGAGGTAAAGAGAGTTGGGTTTTCCAAGGTACTTTACAATATAATCATTTTCCTGGTCTTTGGAGGAGTCATCTTGGTGAGGTGTAAGCAGAACGATCATTCAGAGCTAGGAAGTCCAGGGTTTTAAGTCCAGCTTGATTAACTGCCATTTAAATGAATGTGGGCAGATGTCTAAACTCCCTGAACCTCGGTATCTTTAAACATGAAATGGGGGCAAAGTACCTTAAAGGATTCTTTTAGAGCTTAATTGACCAAGTAGGTGGTAGAGTTTTCATGAGACTGATTGCATTGCTTCTTATTTATCATTATATTAAACTTAATACATTGTTTTTTCTTTCTGCAGCGATATCTCCAGGACTAGCCAGTAGCCATGGCGAACTGTGTCACCAAGGAAAAAGAAGGGATGTGTCAGTGGCTGCTGCTGACCTCGGGTCAGCTGGGGCTGCCCTGCAGCCCAGCACTGCGAAGGCTCGGTGTAACCGGGCTTGGCTGTGTGCAGGGTCTGGAAGGGTGAAAGTCAAGTGACACACCTTTGTCATCTCTATTGTTTTTGTAAAAACCTGTATATAAATTTCATAAGGCATGTAGACAGCCTTTCCTTTCTCTGATTATTTTTCTGGTCAGTTTGAATTCATAGCTAAAATACACCTACAATAAGTTTTTTTCCCCATGATGCAACAAAACAGAGTTATTCTGTGAGTAGTAGTGATAGTACATATCAGCAATTCAGTCATAAGTGTGTAAAGCTGGGTAGATTTGAGGAAAGCAGATGCTATCCCAGAGCCATTGTAGATTTTCCTCTAAATTAAAAGCAGAATAAGGTAGAAGGGAACTGCTTAAATTACATTTGTACATAGGACTTATAGGAGAGACAGAAAGATTTAAGACCTTCTTAGTGGCTGAATTATAGGAACTCTACTATGGGGTTGCAAAATTATTTGGAATGCAGTGTCCGTGTACAACCCTGGTCCAAATTTACGCAGCCAGTGCGCTTTAGTGGCATGAGTGAGTAGTTGTGACAGAGTCTGCACAGAAAAACTCTTTATCCTCCCATCCTTCACTGAAATCAGGTGCTGGCCCCTGGTCTAGAAACTCATGCAGGAAGCTCTGAGAAAAAAGGCTAAGATTACTGAGGGCCTAAAATGTCTCAGCACTGCCATAGACCCTTGCTGATTCATTGTTTCATTCAGTTCCACTAAGCATGCAGGAAAAAAATTGTTTTTCAAGGCTAGGTCAACCTGGTTGTCTTCCATCCAGATGAATAATAGCATCCAGGGGCAAGCATTTCTGCACATGATCTCCAATCTCCACGGTAGTTATGGCTGCTGCACTCACAATTTCTCAGGCATGGGAACTAAGGTCAGAGGTCAGAGGGTGTATACTAAAAAGGTTAACAACTTTTGGGGTTTGGGATTATTATATTTTTTACCATTTTTGTACTTTTTATATTACCTGAATATCTCATAATGGACATGTATCTTTTTTGTGATCAAGCAAATAAACTTTCCCACTCACAAATAAGAATTTTTTCAGGTCACACTCGGTAAGAGGAGTCAGTTGGCTTTGAACCTATCTCTGGTAATAAAGCCCACGTTCATTCTTTCTCTCTTGAACTGAGCAACTCTTTACTGGCTGTCTGCGCTGCTGCGTGCCAGCCACTATCCTAGGAGCAGGGGAAGCAATGCACAGGACAGGCAAAAGTGTCTGCTCTCCTGCAGACCATGCGGGAGAGAAAGACGATAAGCAGTAAACAAACATATACCAATCATACACCAGATGGTGCTCAAAACTGTGTTAAAAAGAGAAAACAGAGCAAAAAGGCTAAGGAACTACAGGGCAGGAGAGGATTAAACCAGGCCTATGACTGAGAGAGAACGCTTCATGGAATCAGACCTGTGGAATGTCAGACAGATGCGTGGTTTGCAAATACTTGTGTGGCTGTCATGCAACCAACAAGAAGGGTGATGCTTAGCACTTTCCCCAGTCACCTGCAGTGAAGAATGTAGTAGATTCTAAATATATGTTAAATAAATTAGTTATGTGTGCAGTGTCCAAATCTTTTGCCCTCCTTGAATTATACATAAAATCTAAATTCCAGCATCAAAATAATAGCCTGCCCAACAAATTGACTGTCACACTCACAATAAAAGCTAAATTCTGAGTTAACGTGCATTAAGAATGGCCAAACCAAGAAACCAGTCATTGAAAAACTTAAGTAGGCACACTCAATAGTCTTAACTCTAATATTTCTTCTAAGTATCTCATGCAACTAACTAACTCCTGTCTTTTTACAAGCATTGATGGTTACCTTTTAGTCTACACAAAAGAATATATGTAAGGTAAACAACATATTGGATTCTATGAAAAGTCCATTTGAAAGGTTCACATTTGAATATCTTGATATGCATTATTTTCAAATGTATATTTGCACATACATAGAGAATCAATATAAAAAAACTTTTACACACACATACACAATTTTTATATATTGAACATGGCTTGCTTTCCTACCTTTAACTCAAAACCATTTAAGTGATATCCAAACCATTTTAAATAGTCCATAGGAATCAGGCCATGTATGTGACTAGCATTTGAGGAATGCAGTAAGAAGGTGATGGCAGTGATAAGATACTAAAAAATACCAACATGTAGCCATGACTGGTGTGGCTCAGTGGGCTGGGTGTCATCCCATAAACTGAAAGTTCACCAGTTCGATTCCTGGTCAGGGCATGTGTCTGGTTGTGGGTTAGGTCCCCAGTAGGGGGCATGTGAGAGGCAACTGATGTTATTCTCACACACCAATGTGTCTCTCTCTCCCTTCCTTTCTCTCTAAAAATAAATAAACAAGATCTTTTAAAGAATACCAGCATGTATATAGAGTTGTATGTATATGGTTGGGAGGTGAAAAAGTTTATGGAATAGATCTTTTTTGGTAGGACTTGTCTGACTTTTAAATTAATGTCAAACATTAAAATCACAGTAGCACAAGGCTGTTGTCACCTGGAAGTTGGATCTGAAAAGCCTACCTTTAAAGTGCAAATTTTAACCCTGGGGTGTTTGTAAAGAGTCAGATGAAAAATACTCGATGCTTCATTTATTTAAGCAAAATATCAAGTTTCAAGAAGCATTTTGTCGTGGTAAAATAGATTTTAGTTTCTTGGTAATAAGAAAAAAATTTTACCGTCTAGTAGTACCTGCCTGTTCCCATATCGAAAACCACTGGTAGTGGGATTGGAGATACTCTTACCTGCGAATTGTCTAATAATCCTCTCCACTTTCTTTAGTATTTAAATATTTAGTATTTGAGCCGTGTAATTGAAATATTATTAAGTACTTCCTTTAGGCTAGCCACTCTCTACCCTCCTACTTCCCAGACTTCCTAGAGGAAGCCTCATATTCTAATTGTGTTTTCTAGGCCTCAAAACTGAGGCTATTGAGGACGACCTCGGTGGTGATAAAAGGAATCCCTTGGTGCACTTTCTGACCCTCCATTCCCTGCTCCCCCGTCCCAGCTGAATGAATATTCGTGTTCTGGATCGTGAGATCCGGAGGGCAGGGTGTCTCTGAGGAGATGACATTTGAACTGATTAGTAATGAACGACAAGAAGAAGCCTAGTGGAAAGGGGTCGTCCAGGCAGAGGGAGCAGCAACCCCTCGTCCAGCAGGTAGCGCTCTCCTGGGAGGTCCACCAGAAAGGCAGTCAATCCCACCAGTGACCTTCCATGTTGCCCCTTTAGTGGACATTTATACCAAGTGGTGGGTGTCTAAGGTGCTCCTCTGCTGACCCCTCTCAGCTTGCCATCTCTCTCAATTCTCCTTTCCCTGGGTCAGTCTGGGACAGATCTATTTAAACAGACAAAAAGAGAGGCAAGACTCCCTTCCTGTCCAGAGTCTGAGGACAAGAGACCACCTTCCCCTCTCCCACCTGGTTATTGTCTTATAATGCCTGGGAGTGGGGTGGGCAGTAGGGCAGCAGAATTGGCTGGTTCTTGGATTGGTGCTCCTCTGTCAACCCTGTGGGGAGTGGCTGGCTCCAGCTGCTGACTCTGGCAGTGCCTTTTCCCCTCTTTTTTAGGCCTCAGCATAATCCTCTATAACAGGAAAAAGCATTATCTGATAGCTCATCACCCTGGTATAACAGCTATCATGCTGGGAGTATTGCGGGGCAAGATCTAGGGTGTGAGGAAGCTTTGGTGAGTCACTGGAGTCGTAAAAAGTAGATGACTTTCCAGTGTACCTGAGGTCACGCAAGTGACTGGTGCTGGGAGTGAACCTGGGACATGGGCTTGGGCTTCCACCCTTGCTCAGACGGAAATGAGGAGCAATATCTGTAAATGGCAGTTGAAAATGTTCAAAGTCTAGAGGAAGCTTTTGCCATTTGGTAGTGAGCCAAGCACGTTCAATGAATGACTTTGTACTTGTTTATCTGAAGAATCTTAAAGTGATAACCCCCAGGGAGCAGAAATGTTTATACACTTGAGTAAGTCAGTATACATGGGTAGAATAAAATAACCAAATGTGTGAGTTTTAGAGCCAGTAATGGTCAGGTGTTGGTCAAGTTTTCATTTTGGTTTTCCTTCAAGCCAGGTAGACAGGCTTCACTCTTCTTTTGCCTTAGTTATAAAGGGACTCAATTCATTAGCAAAACTCCATATGACTAGATATTTATTAAGTGGGGATCTCGGTAGCAGGTTTGGACACTTAAAAACACTGTGTGGAGCATACTCAGATCTGTACCCACAAAAGCAGCAATGAGGGCAATGACTGCTAAGGAGCTGACCGGACTGAATAAATCTCCAACTTACAGACACTAGGGCAGACACCGGAAGGGTCCTTTGAAAGGCTGCCTTTCCTCAAATGAGATTCGCAATTGAGAGAAGTTGAGCAGTGCGTCTGTACAGAGAGACAACGGCACAACATTCCCAAGCCTTACCTTGGCGACCTCCTATGAATTTCTAGGATATTACAAATTGAGAACCCAAACTATTTGCTCACGGTTGTCATGAAGCTAAGTTATCTTCATTTGTTGCTAATAGCCTGCCAATGCTAAAAAAAATTTATTTCATCAGTAGCTTAGATTACCGATTAAGTAAGCTCCAATTTAAGCTGTTTAAAACAACCGTACTGAAATTAACCAAACGGTCACGTTACTTTAAAAGTAACATGTAGTAGGCCTATGCTGAATGAGAGAACAAAGCTGCCCTAACTGGTGTAAGGTGAACAGGGATATGGAAGAAGACTGGAAGCGTTGGAAACAATGCTTATGATTTGAGGGTCTGTTAACAAAAGCACTTGTGACACAGTGTCTGTTCAGTTCCTCAATCCCAAAACCCAAAAGTGATATGGTATCGGGTAATTCCTGGGATCAGAAATTCCTGTTGTAGGAATTTCGGCTTCCTACACCATCTACCCTCCTTTCAATCAATCAGCAAGTCCTGCCGGGTCAGCTCCCAAAATATAACCACGTTGCTGGCTTTCTCCATTCCCACTGCCCCGGACTGCTCCAGCAGCCCTGAACCGGTCCCCCGCTGACTGCTTCCACTCACACCCCACTCGGCAGCCACATTAACCGCGTGCCGCTTCTCTGCT